ATGATACAAGACATCTTGAGCTTTTTTAGTAAGAGTTTAAATACAAGTAAGTTTTTACAGCATTTGAAACACAAACAAGTCTTATAAGTGCTGAAGATTAGAGGTGTTACTAGAGAGGAATACACAAAGAAAAAAAAGAAGGAGGGGAGATAAGGACAATTAATGTTTGACAGGAAAGGAGGAGCAAAACTACACCAGAGCACCCACCAACCACCCATTCTTTGAGGGAGGTGTGGATGATACACGACACTGAGAGACTTTTGTTTTGTTTTGAGTACAGAGAAGCACACTGATCCGATAACGGTCATTTAATGTTAGGGAAAAGTAAGACAGATAGACAGACAGAAACAACAGAGGGAAAGAAAAGAAGTAGTAGCAATCAGTGGTGCCCTCCAACACATAAGAAGAAAAAAAAGACATGTTTAAGCTCCCCCATCCTTCTTCTGATACACCTCGGTCTGGAGAAAGGAGTACGGGTCGGTGCAAAAAAAAAAAGAAAAAAGATTCTTAAAATTGTGAAGTGCCAAGTTTATGCTTCTTCACCCCTCTAGGGTACTTGAGATAAGAAAAGGAAAAGTATCTCCAGATAACATGCTAAAGAAGTCTACAGAAAGATAAGACAAAATATGACAGATATGAGAGTATACTACGACACTAGATAGACTTTTAACAAAAGCGTATGGCATGGTCAGATAAAGTAACAGAAAATATGAGATGAGATGAGATATGACAAATAAGATAACTACAATCATCACTGTCTTGTTGCCTCTGTCGGACGTGGGATTCATCGGGTCATTCAAGCACAAATGTACATTTGTAACATACACAAAAATTCTTCTTAAGACACATACACAGACGCACATACAGACAGACAAACATCCCTACCTTTTTATCTCTCTCAGACTAAGGATTCTCCAAGTGTCACACAGACACATAGACAGACGTACACACAGACAGACAAACGTCCCTACCTTCCATCCTCCATCAGACTAAGGATTCTCCAAGTGTCACAGACACACAAACAGACATACATGCAGAAAGACAAACATCGGTACCTTGCCACCTCCATAAGACTAAGGATTGTCCAAGCGTCACACAGACACATACACAGACATACACACAGACAGACAAACGTCCCTACCTTGCCACCTCCGTCAGACTTTGGTCTCTCCCAGGTGAGGCTGACAAAGTCGCCACCAACTTCTGTGACATCGGGGGTGCCGGGGGACTCGGGGGCATCTATAGAGGAGGGGTGGGGGGGGGGGAGAGGGAAGATGTAAAGTGTCACTCACAGATGGACTGAAATACACAAATTCTCAGATTCTTTTTTCCTTCCTCACCGTCCGCCTGCCCTCCCAAAAACAATATATAAAAAAAGCCCCCCAAAAAAACAAAAAAAACCCCCCAATCTAAAACCCCCAAACAAACAAACAAAAACTCATTTTCTCCATTAACCTAAAACATCCCCTGCCAGTGCTTCATAAAGCAAAGCTAACTCCATTTATAATTTGAGTCAATAATCTGACTGAGAGAATTACACGTCAAGAGTAGTTAAGCTCTAAATCAAATAAACAGAAAAAAGTGAAAAAATTTTTGAGGTAGAAGTGTTGCTTCATTTTTAGCCAATATAAAGATTAAAATAGAAATAATTTCTGTTATCGACAAGTCACCAGTTATGCTCCTTTCAACCCAACGCATATTTTCTGGAAAAAAACAACAGCAAAAAACAGAAGGAAGAAGCAAGTTAAACATCAAAATTGGTCACTTTTAAGGACAAGCGGGCTATCCCAGATTTTGGGGGTTTTGAGAAATCTTGACCTACACCAAAAGTGGGGATTGTCCTAACTTTTCCTAAAGTTTGGTTTCATTCGTGTATATATTCGTTTGGTTATAGAGAAAACTCTCCTTGCCTTTAAAAAAAACTGAACAAGGGTTCAAAAACTTTACTTCCGATTTTCTCAAAACAGCATTTTACGGGATAGCCCCCTAGTGCTTAAAAGCGACCAATTCATTGAGGCTGCGTCCATACCGAAAGGCATCTTGGCTACAATGGGGTTCTCAGCCTGCAGGAACTCTCCGGGCCCGTTCTCAGTGACAGCTGCCACACGGAACAAGTACTGGCTGTTCTCGTACAGACCTTGGACATCAATGGACGTGTCCTGGGAAAAAAAGTGCAAATGTTTTCAACATGCCTTGGTTTGGTTTCATTCTGACTACAGCGGAAGCTTTTTCTTTTACTCAAATGAGGTACAACAGATCTTCTTTTCACACATGTTAAACTAGACCATCTTATAAAAAATTAAATTTAATCATCTTTTTCCTGTAATCAGATGAGGTATAAAAGATCTTCTTCTTTTCAAACATGTTGAACAAGATCATCATTTTAAAAGATGAACTTAAAAAAAAATCAAACTCACACTTCTATTATTTATTTGTTTACTTGTTTTCTTTTGGCTTTGATTGGTTTGTAGTATAAAAATAGGTATACAAGATGATTGTTCATTCTTGTGCAAGGCTCGAATCATTAATCACATCTTTTTTAAAAATCAAATACACTATCATATCACCACACCACTCGAGACATCCGTCGCCTCAGAACTATTTTGTCCACAGCGCACTTTATATTTAACCCTATCCTTATGCCCTGGGGTGATTTTGTACCCCCGGGGTTGTATGCTTCACATTTTAGAATACTTCTAATGTGAAGATCTCTTTGATACTTTCAGTATTTCTCAAAAAATCATTTTGACAGACTGCTATGCAAAGCATACTGATAGGATTAACGAGTTTAACGAATAAATTTCCTCTTTGGAAAAGGGTGGCACAGAGTTCCCACGTCGTATGGATATGATGGTAAAAGACGATGTACGGATAGGGTTAAGTACACTTTGAACAAAATAGTTCTGAGGTGGTTGACATATCTATACCACAAATACTGGCAAAATCCAACAAATAATAAAAAGAACTTTGAAAAATCTGTGTGTCCGTCACGGTGTGTAGCGTACCTTGCAGTGTGAGGAGACGGTGACCCAGTAGGGTTTGCCGATCTCCTGACGCTCCACCAGGTAGTTTGTGATGCGACCGCCTCCGTCCTCCTTGGGCGGCTTCCAGGCCAGACGGCACGTGTTCTTGGTGATGTCAGACACGGCCAGCGGACCTGTGGGTGCTCCGGGCGGGCCTGGGAGGAGGGGCAAAGGTCATAATATTACATACAGATACAGAATACATACAGGAACAGAATACATACAGGAACAGAATACATAGAGGAACAAAATACATAGAGGAACAAAATACATACAGGAACAGAATACATAGAGGAACAGAATACATACAGGAACAGAATACATAGAGGAACAGAATACATAGAGGAACAGAATACATACAGGAACAGAATACATACAGGAACAGAATACATACAGGAACAGAATACAAGCAGGAACAGAATACATGCAGGAACAGAATACAAGCAGGAACAGAATACATACAGGAACAGATACAAGACAAAGACACATTACAAACAGAAACAGAATACATACAGGAACAGATACAAGACAATGACAATACATACAGGAACAGAATACATACAGGAACTGAATACATACAGGAACTGAATACATACAGGAACTGATACAAGACAATGACACAATACATACAGGAACTGAATACATACAGGAAGTGATACATTCAGGAACAGAATACATACAGGAACTGAATACATACAGGAACTGATTACATACAGGAACTGATACATACAGGAACTGAATACATACAGAAATGATACATTCAGGAACTGATACATTCAGGAACACAATACATACAGGAACTGATACAAGACAACGACATATTACATACAGGAACAGACACAACAATACATACAGGAACAGATACAACAATAAATATACTGAAGTAAAATATGGTGGCAGTTCTTGGCTTGTGCATGGCTACAGGGGAGAAGATAAATGGGGCCCCTTTCTTCATTTTGCTTGGATTTAAAAAAAACCCACAAAACCCCCCCCCAAAAAACCCCAGATAAGAAAGTCTTAAAATCGAAACAAGAACTGACAATGACCAGAGTGAGCAATACTTACTGACAACTTTGAGCTGGAATGGGGCAGAGACTGTGCCACTGTCGTTGCTGATCTCAATGGTGTATTTGCCAGTGTCATCTCTCTCAGCATCTGAAGAGAAAACAATCACACACAGTCAGTTTAGCGAAAGATCTTGTCAGTATGTTAGTAGGCTATTTTAGAGCCTATAAATGGCTGCTTGCACTGTATGCTTCCCAGGAAGCTGAGTTTGTTTCAGAATGCTCTCAGGTCTGCTGGGGTAATAGTATAGATTGTGAAGCGCATAGAGCTTGCTGTTGAGAGGGGATTTGCGCTATACAAATGCTATCTATTACTATTCTTGATGAAAGCATAAATGAATAGATGGATAGAAAAATGACAGTGACTCGTCAGTATCAAATGGACATGAAAATATTAATGGTCAATAGAGGTGAAAATGTATCATGATATCTTTCTTGTTGTATCTCCATTTTTTTAAACAGTGAAAACAGTTCATAACAAAGAGTGAGCTTAAGAAGAAGTCACATTTTCACTGTTAAAAAATGGAGATACTACAAGAAAGCATTGGGGTCGGGAGTTCAAAACATGAAATAAAGATTTCCCATGGCAGCAGATATGAATGCGTCTAATGGACCAAAAATAAACATGACAAATCATAGCGTCATCTGCTCACAACTGACTCACAACTGATATAACATAGCTTCATCTGCTCACAACTGACTCACATAATATGACATAACATAGCTTCATCTCCTCACAACTGACTCACATATGACATAACATAGCTTCCATCTCCTCACAACTGACTCACATATGACATAACATAGCTTCATCTCCTTACAGCTGACTCACATATGACATAACATAGCTTCATCTGCTCACAGCTGACTCACATATGACATAACATAGCTTCATCTCCTCACAACTGACTCACAAATGACATAACATAGCTTCATCTGCTCACAACTCACTCACCTTTGATGACAAACGTGACAAAGTCGTCGAAGGGCGAGATCTTGATGCGGTCTCCCTCCTTGACCTCCTTGCCATCCTTCTTGACCTTGATGTCGAATGGCCCGGTGCCGCTGAAAGGCAGTTTGACCTTGAACTGGTCTCCTGCATCGACCTTCTGGTCGCGCAAGTCTTTCTCCAGTTTGGGGGGAGCTGTAAGAGAAAGAAACAATGGACATACAATGGTCAGTGCAACTCTTGAAGTTTGGTTTGTTTTGTATGCCTGATCAAAAAAGCTTTTACACCACAAAAGAAACTAGTTCGTGGGTGGTTGGTGGGTGCTCTGATGTGGTTTGCTCCTTGTTTCCTATCAAACATCTATCTTCCTTATCTCTCCTCCTCCTCCTTTTTTGAGTTTGTTACTCTCTTGTAACACATCTATTCTTCGGCACTTATAATACCTTATTATGTTGCAAGTGCCGCAATCTCTTAATAAAACTAAGAAACTAGTTCCTGGGAACTCACCCAGCACCGACAGATGGCAGGAGCATGACTCTCGTCCAAGGGCGTTCTTGAGCTCACAAGTTATGTCCCCTGCGTCCTTGTCGTAGACCTCATTGATGAACAGAGTGTACGTGTCTCCGTCCACACGCACGCGATTACGGCCGGCGGAGCCGAGCTCCACTCCGTTCTTGAACCTGCAAGAGTATTGTGAGAAAAGGATTAGTTCAAAAATATAGTAGAAACAAGTAGTAGTCTTTCTGTTTTAGTTAGTACAGAAATGTAATAATAACAAGTAACCTTTCTGTTTTAGTACAGAAATGTAATAATAACAAGTAACCTTTCTGTTTTAGTACAGAAATGTAATAGTAACAAGTAACCTTTCTGTTTTAGTTAGTACAGAAATGTAATAGTAACAAGTAACCTTTCTGTTTTAGTACAGAAATGTAATAGCAACAAGTAACCTTTCTGTTTTAGTTAGTACAGAAATGTAATAGAAACAGGTAACCTTTCTCATTTAGTACAAAAATATAACAGAAACAGGTAGGCTAACCTTTTTTGTTTTAACTACAGTAAGTTGGGTAGGATAAAAAAACTTACCTTGCCTGGATTTATGTTTTAAGTAGTCGCATGAGAAATTAGCACACGAAAACAAAGTCACTGTTTTGTTAAGATAGGTAGACTTTAAAAAACACATCAACCAAACCTTGCTCATTCATCTCCCGTTTGAACCAGGAAGAATACAGCATGTGGCTCCCGCCATGTTTGATGTGCAAGCAATGAACACTTTTGTAAATTGACATTCTCTGTCTCTCTCTGTCTCTCTCTGTCTCCCTCTCTCTCTCTCTTTCTCTCTCTCTCTCTCTCTCCTCTCTCTCTCTCTCTTTCCTCTCTCTCTCTCTCTCTCTGTCTTTCTCTCCCCTCTCTCTCTCTTTCCCTCTCCCACCTCTCGCTCTTCATTTTTCTTCAACACTCTCCCTCCTCCCTACTCACCACAAAACTTCTGGTTTGGGCGTGCCTGAGACCTCCACACTGAACTGAGCCTCTCCACCAAGGGGAGCCTTTGTGTTCTGAAGCTTCTTGATGAACTCTGGGGCCGAGCCGACTGGGGGGACAAACATCAGAATGATCATTTAAAGATAAAGGACATGACTGCTTGGTGCATGTGTTGGTAGTAGAAAAGAGGCACATTATAATCAGCACTGTGGTTATGACTGCTACTTGGTAGGGGTAACCTCAAAACAGTATTAAAAAATTTGTTTTTGTTAAATTTATTTTCTTTTTTAAACTTTTAAATTCCAATAATTGATAAAATCCTAAATATCTAAAAGGAGATGTTCTATACAGAAAAACCACCCAAAAAACAAAACATGTGTAAAAGATTAGTCCACTCTTCCTAAGGGCTCAACGTGATAATATAGACCTACTGAGAGGTTAAGAAAGGGAAAATAACATTTTTGAAAAATAAAACTGAATCATTATGCTTTATTTCCATATATCATTGATGAAGACGACTCCATTATAAAAAATATTTTACACACTTTTGCATGCTAGCACAAATTCCTCCCTGCTGTTATATTATGGTTATGATTCACAGTCAGATAGCAGATAAGGAACATACCATAGTTAATCTAACATAGCAGACCACCAAAATATGTGTCATGACGTGATGAAATCGGACGCTCGTCAATTTTTGGGCATGTGGAGTCATTGATACCATCTGAAAGCTTACTCATTTGCCTTGCTTTCTATGAAAAAAAATATCCTTATCGCTTGAAAAGAAGTCGAAATATTTGCGATTGAAGTTGAAGAAGGTGGGATAGCCTGGCTTCAGTGGTTAAATTAATGAGAAAATGGCCACCAAAGTTTGGTGTAATTTCAATAGCTTGAGAGTCCTTGAAAACTGAAAATTAGATATTATATTGTGCCTTTAAACAAGGTTTTTCAATAAAAATTCACATGGAAATGTGTTTTTATAAGGACACAATATGTGTTTTTATATGGACACAGAATGTGTTTTTATAAGGACACAATATGTGTTTAGCCAAAAAACAAAAATTTCTATAAAAATTACCAAACTGGAGGAAAAATGCCCTTTTCTTCGATTTCATTATTTTGACGAGTGCCTGATTTCACCACGCTGCCTCACCAATGTGCTACGGTTGATCTCTACCAGCATAGGACAAAGATGTTAAGCAAATCTGGAGGTACAAACTGAGAACCTACCGACTTTCTCCTTGATCTTGACAGGTGCGCAAGGCAAGCTGCACTCCCCGGTGCCAGCTGCGTTGATGGCAGCGATACGGAACTCGTACTCTGAGTTCTCGGCCAGTCCGGACACGTTGAAGTTGTTGTCCAGGATGGGGAACTCATTGGCCTTGAGCCAGGAGGACATTCCCTTCTCTCGCTTCTCCACAACATAGCCTGGACAAGGAATGTGAAACATTTTTAATAATAATAATAATAAATAAATAGCATTTGTAAAGTGCATGTCCACGCTCGACAGCAAGCTCTATGCACTTTACACTATATTATTACCCCAGCAGACTATAGAACACTCAGAAACATTCTCAGCTTCCAGGGAAGCATGCAGTGCAAGCAGCTGGTTAAGCGCTCAAACAACTACAAACTGACAAGATCTTTCACTGTCTATAGCTGGGTATCCATTCCCACCTGGGTGGAGTGAGGAAAATTCGTGTAAAGTGTCTTTTGGTCAATGAGTGCTTCTAGTACACAGGCTTCCCCCCCCCCCCTTCCTTCTCCATCATGTAGCCTGGACATGGAATGTAAAACACTTGGTCAATGAAAGCTTCTAGTACACAGGCATTCCCCCCCCCTCCCTCCCCCCTCTCCTCCACCACGTAGCCTACCCATGAATGTGAAACATGCAGTGTGTAGTTTATCATTACCATACAGTAAACTTATTTATTATAGCAATTTCTCATTCCTAAGAATAAGGATGGATTTGTTTATAGGTAATCATCACTTTTTAATCTTGTCTCCTTAACCATACCATGCTATTGCAAAAATCATCTTAATCAATTTAACTCATTCGTGAATTTCGTAAATAGTGAATTGTAAAAGTGATGTGGCTGTAGAAATTCAAGGAACCTTGACAGAGAATTTACACGAGAAGTAGTGCCACACCTCTTCAACTTACAGAATAAGAAAATAAAGAATAAAACATTAGACCTTTTTTTTTCAATTTTTTAAAGATAAGACAATCCCGAATACAACAAGAATCTTGAAAATGCTAAAAACAGAAACAGACTCCAATTTTTATAAACAAAGCAATGCCAATGACAATCTTTATTCATCTCCCAAGCAGAAATTTATCTTGGTCGTTAACAAACATCGGTAGACGTTACAAAGGTTTGGTGCACTCACGCATACACACAACAAGACAGGACATTAGTAAATACATGACAACCCACTCCGTAAAGCATTCTCTCTCTCTCTCTCTCTCTCTCTCTCTCTCTCTCTCTCTCTCTCTCTCTCTCTCTCTCTCTCTCTCTCTCTCTCTCTCTCTCTCTCTGTTTGTGTGTTTCATTTTTGGCACTGTGTGTTCAGTTACCTCACCCAAGTTTCTAAAAGAGATAAGTGTGAGTGCACAGACATCTTCCCCTCACATCCCCCCCCTCCCTCCCCCCCCCCCCCCTCACCTGTGATCTTGGAGCCACCGTCGTTCCTCGGTTTGTCCCACTTAAGCTCCACAAAAGTTCTGCCCACTTTAGCGGCCTCTGGGACTCCAGGAGTAGATGGCTTGCCTGTTGGTGAGGGAAAATGAGGACATGTTGTAAAAACATGATACATAAAAAATTGTGTGGCTCAATATTAAGTTACATTTCTTAACCCTATCCGTACGTCGTGTTTTACCATCGTATCCATATGACGTGCCACCACTTTCCACAGTGGAAATTTACACATTAATCCAATCCGTACACTTTGCATAGCAGTCTGTCAAAATGACTTTTTGAGAAATACTGGAAGTTTCAAAGAGATCTTTGTACTAGAAGTATTCTAAAATGTGAAGAATACAATCCCGAGGGTACAAAATGACCTCAGGGAGTACGGAGTACTTATTGATTACTAGATGTTCAGAAGTAATAAGCCCAATATTTTTCCCTTTTTTTTTTACTGCATTTTCTTAATTTGTGGAATCAGTTGATTTTTAAAAACACTGTTTATGGTATTTTCGGAGATAATTTCCCCCTGTTCTAGGAATTCAAGGTATGTCACATGGCACCTCCCAAAGGATAAAGATTTAAATAAGAAAACCTACAAAACAATAAAGAGAGAAGGACAAATCTGACTGCCAGCAAACTACTGTATCTGTGGAGACGGTTGGACAATACTTACTGTACTTGGGCTTGACGTGTACGGGTCCCGTGCTGTCGCTGGGGTTACCCAGACCCGCAGAGTTCTTGGCGCGGACACGGAACTCATACTCTGTGTCGTTGTCCAAGCCCTTCACTGGAGACACAAGACACACAGAGACACATGAGGATTACACATCCTGGCATTTATAATAATTATAACAGTAATAATTATGATAATAATAATGATAACAATAATTATAATAAATATACTAATACATAATGAGGATTTATATAGCACCGAATCCCCAGAGGCAATTAGCACTGCAGAAAAAGCATATTGCAAGACCATTTAACAACACACACACACACATACACACACATACACACACTTTGCCTCCCTTATGACCACCACCTTCCCTTACCAATGCCTCTTTTATGTTAATCACCAATGCCCATCACTCATTCCTACTATAAATGCCCACCTCCTATCCCCTATCTGCTATTCCCAGCACCCCTCACCAGTAATAACCATCCATGCTGCCTCCCCCACTGCCCATCATCTATGCCTCCCAAATGCCCCTCCTCCCTCAAAGGCCAACTTTCCCAAGCCCTCACCTATGCCCACCATCGTCCCCCCACCCCCCAACCCCAATTTCCCCATCATCACTCCCCAGTG